ACTGCAACATCCGCTGCAAGTCAGGATAGGGGACTCCACTGTCCTCACCATCAAGGAGAAGGTCAGGGGTATACATGTTACCTTCGACACTGCTGGAGAAGTCAGACATGCTCTGAACTTCTACATATTCCCTGATCTACCCTTTGATCTGATGTTCTCTATGCAGTGGCTGAGGGTGGTCAACCCTAGGATTGACTGGCAGATCCCTAAGGTTGAACTCCCCAATGGGCAGGGGGTGTATCAGCCTTGCATGATTGTTGTTGACCACCACCCTAAAACTAATTGCTACTGTTTGAGAGCGAGGGAGTTTTATTCTCTCTCACGCCAGTACGACCATGAGCGTTTGTTTTTAGCTTTGGTCAAGCAAACAGACGCTCCACATGTTTCCTGTCCTCCTGAGATACAGCAGGTTGTGGACCAGTATGTCGATCTCATGCAGGAGCCCTTTGGACTACCCAACCGGTCAACCAAGCATCACATTGGGCTACTACCTGGAGCGGTCCCTCCTAAGGGCTGCATCTACAGGATATCCCCTGCTGAGCTTGAGGAGCTCAGAAAGCAGTTAGAGACCCTGACCAACAAGGGCTGGATACGGCTGAGCACATCTGAATTTGGCGCACCAGTGCTCTTCATCCCGAAAGGGAATGGAGAATTCAGAATGTGCATCGACTACAGGGGTCTCAATAAGATCACTAGGAAAAGTACAAAGCCTATTCCTAGGATCGATGACCTTCTGGACATGGTGCAGGGTTGTACGGTGTTCAACAAAGTCGATCTCAAATCTGGATATCATCAGATTGAGATGGCAAAGGAGGATGTCCACAAGACACCCTTCAAAACCAGATATGGTACTTACGAGTATCTGGTTATGCCATTTGGACTTTGCAATGCTCCAGGTACCTTCTAGACTGAAATGCACCGCATCTTCAGGCCTTACCTGGACAAGTTCATGGTTGTCTGTCTAGATGACATTTTGATATTCAGCCGAACTACCAGGGAACATGCGGAGCAGTTGGCTCTAGTTCTTCAGTCATTACGTGACAACCAATACAAAATTTCTCGTCAGACCATTGCTCGTCTACTGCCTCAGGACCCGACTTATGGACCCATAGTCAGGAATTTGCAAGCGGATCCCAATTCTGAACCCGGCTATGCCCTTAGTTCAGACTTGCTGTATACCTACAGCAGAGGCGAGGAACGCTTATGCATTCCCCATGACCAGCGACTCAAGACACTGCTGACGTCAGAGTGTCATGATGCGTGCGGACATTTTGGGTTCTTAAAGTCGTATGTCGCCCTGTCGCAGCGCTTCTTTTGGAAGGAGATGCGGAGTGATCTGCAACAAGATGTTGAAACATGTGAGCTCTGCCAGAGAAATAAGGTCCAGCGTAGACCTCCTCTGGGACTGCTCAAACCCTTACCCATACCTGATGGTCTTGCTGAGTCTGTGTCTATTGAGTTCACAGATATAGGCAAGACCACCCCTCGTGGCATGCGTCAAGTAATGGTCTGTGTGGACAGGTTCTTTAAGTACGTAGAGTTCATCCCCTTGCCAGAAGTAGCTAGGGTCCCCGCTATGAGAGCAGCGTTTTCAGAGAGGTGGGTTACTCACCATGGACCGCCCACTTCTATAGTCAGTGATCGAGATCCACCATTCTGCAGCAATGAGTGGCAATCCTACTGTAAGGATTACCTACACTCACGACTTCTGGTCATCATCCTGAAGCCAATGGTCAGGCTGAAGTGATGAACCAGGTCCTGTTCCAATTGCTGCGTCCTGTCATCTCCCCAGATCAACAGGACTGGGATCTCCACTTGGCTCATGCACAGCTTGTCTATAACACGTCTATCCACTCCTCGACTGGGCACAGCCCATACCGTTTGCACTGGGGACGTGAACCACGATAGCCTCTCGATGATATCATCGATAAGGCTAATTCTGATCTGACACCAAGCACCGCAGAGTTTGCCAGACACTATCGCATAGATGTGGAAAGAGCACGGGCGAACTTGTTCAAAGCTCAAAAGGCTATGATTGAACAAGTTAATCGCCATAGGCGGCCTTCCCCCGTCCGTACTGGTGACTATGTCTGGGTAGCCAGTTCTGAGTTGTCGAGGGAGGAGGATATCTCCCCCAAGCTGTTGCCTCGTTATTTGGGTCCATGGCAGGTCTTAGATACAGTGGGTTCTGATCCATTTGGACCGTCATACGTCATCGACGTTCCACTGCATCTGCAAACCTATCCGGCCTTTCATGCATCCAAGCTGCTCCCCTTCACCGCAGCTGATGCGTTCCCCGACCGGCCTCCTCAGTTTGGTCCACCGATCCCTGGCAAGGGATATGACGTGGAGTCCATTGAGGACGAGTGGGGCACTGGGCCCGACCGACAGTATCTTGTGAGGTTCTGCTTCCAGCCTCATACTGAGGACAGATGGTTTACCCGAACGGAACTTCTCAAGACAGCAAAGTCTGTACTTTTACATTACAAGGCGGCCAAGAAGGGAAACCTTCCTCGGCGTATCATCGTCTACACCCCTAGCTCGGAGGTCCTCACTCCCCGGGGGGGGTAAGTTTGCAATGGCTTGCCGATTTCTACTGTCGAGATCTGACTCCGAGGTTGTAGAGTCGCGTCTTAGGGTCAGATTCGTAATTTTATTTGTGTCAGGGACTAACCGCCAGTTTAGTTTTCAGAGGAATTCGTGAGGGACATATCTGCAATTTCTGGGAAAATTGCAGACCCGAGTTCCCCTTAGCCGTTATCGCCCTTAGCAGACCCAGGCTATCACTGGGACAGCCCGCCCATCCCGGCCCTGGGCTGTAGAGACGAAATAGGCGCGGTATAGACGGGTAGGGCCCAGGCCGAACAGGCCAAACTGATGCGGTGCCGGTCCAGTAGGTCTAGATCTAGAGTAGGCTTGTCTATTAATAGGACGGAGCCAGTAGGATCGGGATGTTTGGCAGTTCATTTTCGCGATACAGCGTGCTGGAGCCAAGCAAGTTGGTGGTGGTGATTGTCTACAGGCGGCATCGTGAGACCCTCATCGTGGACAGCAGCCATAGCCAGCCTGCCGATGCTTGCCATAGCTGGGGCACCCTCTGAGCATCTACTCCTGGGGGTATCTGCGATTGGCTGGGCTGTTCGGAGGCTCTTCATTGAGCATATGTGGGTGGACCACTGTCGCCCTTCACTCCTTAGAGATTGTCAGGGCTTCGTCAATGGTGTGGCAGCCATAGCTGTCATCTTCTTCGTCAGAGTTACTCATCGGCACAAAAGACTTCATCGCAATTCATGTTCTTCATCTGGATGGTTGGCGCTGGCCTCTGGGAGGCGGATTCAGTGTTGGCGCTACCAATTGGGTGCAGGATAGAGAGTAGGGTGTGGTGTTCTGAGAGTGGCGAGATACTGAGATAAACTCTGTAACGATTATTGGTTTGAGTTGGCTCATCATCAGTGTGATTCTGATTGTTATCCTCGCAGGTGTCTTCTTGTGATTGGTTGTTGCGAGTTTGTCAGAGAGTGAGAATCGCTGTGTGTCTCTCCCCATCTGTGCATGGTTGAATTCCGCTGCTTAACTTTGTCTGTGCGCAGTTTGGACTTTGTCTCCTCCCCCCTTTGTCTGGTATGTGTATGGGCGTGTGCCAGACACTGTGTGTGAGTGGCGAGAAAATCGTCAAACAACCAAGTTCATAACAGCTATGGTGAACCTCATTTTGTGCCTGCAGTAGAAGTGGGATTCGGACATTGATTCTGGTTCAGCCATTCAACATTATTATTGTTATTTCTTGTTTGAATAAGAGGGGAGGAGATAAGGAGGAGACTGGTTGGCGAAGAAGAAGAGCCTTGTCATTGGCCTATGTTGGAGTACATCATCTTCTTCTTCTGTCTTACTTCTTCTTCTTCTTCTTTCCCTCTCTCTCCTCTCAAGTTCATTCATTTCTTTTTGCAATTGGACGGCATTGTACTTTCGGATCAATGTATACTTCGAAATTGGCCAGGATCGTAACACAGCCTTTTTTTTTTCCCCCTTAAGGTTAATTCTTTTAAGCCTAACTAATTCAATTACCTGTCAAATCTGGACAGGACGGTCTTTCAGGTCTTTTCCATCGTCATTATAGTACTATGGGGAACCCCGGCTCATCCTAATTACCACCATCCTACTCTCTGTAAATGTCAGCAACTCCCTGAAAAGTGGGAAGAAGACCCCAGCTGGTTCCACCAATTTGATGAACTGGGCCCAGCTGGTTCCTCCTACTCAGGCAAGTCCCTCTGTGGGACCACAAGGAAGAGGAGGAGGAGGTGCACCTACAATATGGACGCAGATCTATCGGCAAGAAAGGCAGCCTGGTCTCATCTCATCTCGTTTTTTTTTTTTCTCTTTTTTTTTTCTTTTTTTTTCTTTTTTTTCTTTTTTTTGTCAAGAAGAGTTTTTTGGGACATCTCATCAGACTGGTGGACGGTGGAGTTTTTTTCTTTTTTTCTTTTTTATCTTTTTTTTGGTAAAAAAAATGTTTTTTTGGGACATCTCATCAGATTGGTGGAAGGTTGGAGACTGAAATATGATGCAAATGGCGCACAATCCGACTCGTAGCAAACGCTCAACACACAGGCAACACGGAACAAAGGGAGCATTGTAGAACTCCCCCACCTCCTCCTTGTTGCCGTCGATTTTTTTTGGCCAACTCTTCTGCCGCATTATCCACATGTTCGCTGTTTTTTTTTTAATCACAGAGACAAGGTCCCTGATCAGGGACTCTTCTAATTTTATTTAATTTAAATTAAATTAATTCACCAATTCAACTTGGAACAATAGAGAGAGAGAAGACTCCCATGGCCCCTGTCCAAGGACGACACGCATAAATAAAAAAATGGTTAAAATTTTAGAATCTTAAATAACTTAAAATTCTTAAATTTGATTTATTTTAATTTTTTTTATTAAAAAAATAAAGAAAAAGAAAAAGAAATTTGAAGTGTCAAATGAGAGAGAAAACGAAATCGCACCGTTGATACCCTCGATCGACAGCAATGTGTCTGCACAGTGCTGGACTTTTGCACAGAACATCCGGCAATGAATATCCCTAGGGAAACTAATAATGGCTGCAACGTTCTGCCAAGTGCGTAGCAGGCCCTTCAGAGCATGGAGAAAGCGAAGAATCTCCCACTCCTGTGCACCAAGACACCGACGCAGAAAGAAACGTCCGTCAAGAAAATATCTGCTGCCTTTCCCACCACACAACATCTTAACATAATTCAATCAACCAATCACTCAACCAATCAATCAATGTGTTGTCCAGAGGAGTTTAATTAGTACTCATTGTCTGCTAATTAAACTAGTTAATTGTTTAAGATACGATGGGCATAATCACAATCAAAATCGGCGGCATGCAGCACCCACAAGCAAACAAACAAACAAAAGAAGGAAAACGAACAAACGTTGGCCGAACATTTGGCGACCACAAACCAGATTGCACATCATTGCAGTGAATCGTGCGTGAGCCTCGAGATTTTAAAGTGCAGAGAGTTGCAGTCGTTGCCCGTACGCACAGCGCTCAACTTAACTTAACGGGACACGTATTCAGCAGAATCACATTAAAGGTACATACACAGCTTTCACATTACCCTCAGAAGAAAACTGTTGAGGTGTCACATCCAGTTCAGTTAGAAAGGCAAGTAGATAGAGAAGAGCACAAGTAAGAAGTAAGGTCACTAATCATTACCCGCCCCACCCCTTCTCCCCTCCCTCGCTGCTCCTCTTCCTGATGCCCTGCAAAACTTTTTTCAAGCTATTGCAATGGGTCCGGTGGGAGAAAACAAAGCTTACCAGCAATAATCACATCAGACAATAAGCCTGAAATACAGAGCCAGCAAAAAAAAAAAAAAAAAAAACATGGGAGAGTTGAACGCTAAACAAAAAGGATAACCATAAATGATTGACAGTCGGTATTAATTCAAAAGTAGAGGGCCTACCACGACAATCCTGCTGCTGGTGGCGGGATGATGTAATGGTAAGGGATGGCCAAAGGAAGCGGGGCGGCGTACCTGGAGGAGAAGGGGGGGTCGGGGCAGGAGGGCAGCAGAGATGACAATGTAGAGTGTCATATTTCTCTTTGGATTTGGGCAGACCAAAAAGACGTGTGAACATCAATTTCATCAAAACGGACATATTTTATTATTAGAACGAAATGGAAACCTCGTAAATTGGCCCGATTTAGGTCGGTATTTTAAGCTCCTGAGGGTACCCCCTGAAAATGCCATACGCCCTGGATGCCAGCTAAGTCCAGATACATCCAGGGAGTACAGCATCCTGGACCCCAGCTAAGTCCAGATACATCCAGGGGGTTCGGTGTTTTAAGGATGCTGGACCCTCGAGAGATTAAAATTTCTACCTAAATCGGCCCAATTTATGATGTTTCAATTTCATACTAAAAATAAAATGTTTGTTTTGGTGACATTGCTGCATGTGTGTGTGTGTGTGTGTGTGTGTGTACTGTGTGTGTGTGTGTGTGTGTGTGTGTGTGTGTGTGTGTGTGTGTGTGTGNTGTGTGTGTGTGTGTGTGTGTGTGTGTGTGTGTGTGTGTGTGTGTGTGTGTGTGTGTGTGTGTAACCCGCATAAAAATATGACATGTTTACGGTATGATACGGAAACCGCATCATAATCAAGCTCCGAAATAATATATCGGTGCACCTTAAGAATGAAAACTTGTAGGCGTGGTGCAGACGCCTCCCGTACTCGGAGGTGGGGGAATGACTATGCCGGACTACACGAGCAAGCTCAGGAACAAGAACTTGTAGGCGTGGTGCAGACGAAACCTATACTGTAAGGTGTGGAATGACTATGCCGGACTACACGAGCACTCATGCTCCTACTGCTCTTTGCGGGTGAACTGGAACACACACGATCAAACAGACACCACAGGACGGGAAAAGGAAGCACAATAAGGCAAAAGGCAAGGAGGCAACGACAACAAACTGCAGAAAGGCACAAGGACGGGGGGGGCACGGGGTAGGTGGGGGCCAGACCATACATGAATGCACAAAACAAGGAAAGACAAAAGAAAAATACAAGTACAGAAAGATACCCCAAGCATTACACAACAGGCAGCAGCAAAAGACAATGGGCGGAAGGCACGGGGGAGGCGGGAGGGCAGACGTCACTCAAACACAGAAAGCAGGCAAAGCAAAAAATATACAAGTCCCCAAAAACAACGAAGACCAAAAAAATGAAAAAAACAAAAAAACGATGATGACAAGATTGTTTCGTCGGAGTTGCACCAACTCATCAGGAGGCTGAACCCTCGACAATCTGCAGAATCTCCGTATTTGATGGTTTGGGTCATGAATATACTTGCGGTGCATCGAGGTGCGCGGCATCCCGCACGTGCGCCGCACCGCGCACCGCGCACGACGCGCGCGCACGGGGTGCGGCGCACCCCGAAAATACGGGGTCGGCCAAAAAAAAAAAAAGTTGGAGAGGGGTGTTGTAGGCTCAAGTGGGATGTCGCGTCAAGAAACAAAAAAAAAAACAACAACAATTTGAGGCCGCGCGGGGCCCCGGAAAAAAAAAAGCGGGGGGAGCTGAATTTTCTTTTTTAAGGAAGAACATCAGAATTTCTTTGCACGAGTGAAGCCCGGCGCGTCCAACCTGTCAGAACCTCAACGGTAATGTTCACCAACGGGCTCGCTGCACAACTCTCGACATGCACAACAAGACATAGGGCCTTGCTGCACTACTCTCAACATGCACAAAAGACAAAAATATTGGCGGTGTATCT